CACAGAGACCCCCTTATCTCAGATCTGGTCTAGAATCAGGAATGTGGGGCCAACATTGTCCCACCTCCACCAGTCTCATGAAGTCTACTTCCCACTGATCAGAAACTTAAACACCATTTATTTGAGGAAAAGAGATTCTTCTCAGAAGATTGATGACCAAAAAGACCTTGGGCTCTGTCTCACCCATCATAAAGTACAAGGACCTCCCACATGCAAATCTGTCTTCCAAATCTAGATACAAATTCTCTGTGAGGCTGTTTGTGCTCACAGTCCCTTCCACCAGCACAACTAAGATCTGGAGAAGGCACAGGCGTAGTGTAGAATATGAAATTGGTGAGCCTTCTCCTGTGCCTGCTGACTGGTCCCCATGGTGAGTATCCTTAAGGTCAGATATTGCTCCAGGGGAATATTCTTCAGGCAGATGGCTGACGGAAAGTTCTTCCTTATTTCCAGGTGTCCTGTCCCAGGTGCAGCTGCAGGAGTCTGGACCTGGCCTGGCCAAGCCCTCACAGCCCCTGTCCCTCACCTGTACAGTCTCTGGTTTCTCCATCACTAGTAGTAACACCTACTGGCACTGGATTCGTCAGCCCCCAGGAAAAATCATGGAGTGGATGGGGTACATAGGCTACAGTGGTAGCACTGGCTACAACCCATCCCTCCAGAGCCGCATCTCCATCTCCAGAAACACAGCCCAGAACCAGTTCTCTCTGCAACTGAACTCAGTCAGCGCGGAGGACACAGCCACATATTACTGTGCAAGTTACACAGTGATTTCCTGCCAGTGTGAGCCGAGACACAAACCTCCCTGTAGTGGCACTCAGGATCAGCAGGGGGCATGCAGTGCACACTGGTGGAAGGAACCAGCTTCCCAGCCAATGTGAAGAAAATTTGGAAGGTTTTGCTCTCCTGCTGGTTAAGCATCTCCTTCAGTGGCCCAGGCACGGAGATTCTAAGAATCATTTATGTCCCTGTTCACACATTATTATGCTTATATTCAGTCAGTATCATTTTTTTTCTACATCTGTGTCATAATGGGTTGCACAGTAAATTCTTTGCAATGAAACTATTGGTTACAACTCAACTGAGTGCATAGTCTCTCTTAGGTTCTAGGTACAGAAACATTTAATCATGAAGATTATTACCTTGCTGATTGCAGGTCTGTCCTCCACCTTCAGTTGTGCCTGCATGGCTTCTCCTTTTGAAGAGCTCCCCCTAATTCTGGTTCACGAAAAATTCAAGAATTGTTGCTCTGAGTAAGTGGACAACATTCTATATGTTGGCACACATGTCCACATGATATTGGGCCTGTTTTGTTCTCTACCCTCAAGGATATTGAGCAGTACCAAGGCCTTGATAGTTTTCATCGATTCTTCTGTGGTCGGTTTTCTCCTGGCATGTAGTTACTACAGACCTCTAATGCTGTCACACACCTTTCAGTTACAAGAAAATCAAAAACATTTTTTGTGGACCCCAATGTAATGACTCCTGAGTCACAGAGACTGTGAAATAAAGTGTTATACCTAGAGCTTATTCATATTGCAAAGTCAATTTATTATATTTACCTCATTCTCAATACAATTTATTTTTGCTCCGAATGCCTTCAGGGCAGGTTTGGCTGGCTTGAGTTGTAGGGATCGAACCACAGCAACCTGAGCCTGACTGCTTTGTTGAAGCAGCCACTTAGTGAACAGAGCTAGGGCCAGGTCCCCACTCTTAATACAATTTGAGCACTACCTCAGATCTGATTTTCCAAGGGCTCAGGGTTACTGGCTCCTGCATCTCCCACCTGTCACTTGACTTAGGGACAGTGAATCACCTGAAAGGGGATCAGGGAGGAATAAGGTGCGCATGAGAGCTTCCAGCCAGAGACAGCCAAGCTCAGCCCCGGTTGGATCCGAGAGTCAGCTGTATCTGTGTCCATACCGAGCTCCTATCAGAAGGCTAAGCCAGGCCGCACTGTGCCTGAGATGGAATAAGATAACTCAGAGCCTTGAGATCATCAGCAGTCACAGCAGCGGTAAAACGCTGCTGGAGTGATTCCCTAAGTGCCAAGTCACCATGGGAGCTTTGAGACGGCCACACACATCAGTATTTAGTCACTTCACTTGTAGTTGCAACAGAACATATATCAATATGGTATATTAAATCTGGCCAGTGACCTTTGATCTATCTATCTGTCTGTCTATCTATCTATCTATCTATCTATCATCCATCCCTTCATCTATGCTTCATCATGCTTCTCTTTATTTACCTACCAAATATGTATGCATTCATCTAGCATCAATGTAAATATGAATAATTTAAGAATTATATATGCAATTGCTTACATCTCTACTTCAGGTCTTTTTCTTTCTTTCTTTCTTTCTTTCTTTCTTTCTTTCTTTCTTTCCTTTTTTTGCAGAACCAAGGATTAAACTCAGGCCCTTGTGCTTGCCAGGGAAGTAATTATTCAACTCAGCCATCTCCCAGGCTCCTTCAGGTCTTTTTCTACTTCAGTTTTGATCCATACATTTATCTATCACCTACAGATCTAGCATATATAATCAATTATTTCCCTGTGAACTTGTTGATCTCTTACTGGTCCCTGGGAGAAAAACCTCATGAGAGGGTTTAGAAAATAAAGACAAGAGATAGTAGCTAAGGTCAGGTGGTTGGCCACGCCTGGTTGCAAAGGACCCCAGGAACGATCTTAGGGACATTTATTTACATCTTTGCACAGTTAGTATCACTTGACACAAGGTTTCCTAGGGACTGATTGCTGACATTATGCAGGCAGGATGCTCTTCTCAGGGCTGAGGTAGCAGGACTGCGTTAGGCCCTGAGGCCTTGCCCTGCTTCACACATTTGGACAATTTCCAGCTTCCAAAGCTCTCAAAGTTTACCTCCCTATAATCCACATGTTCACTATTTCTCTGCCAATCAGCTACCTATCATTCCTGTATGTACTTCACATGCGTCTTCTCTTCCTTAATGATGTGGGATTAATTTAAAATAGTGGCTATTTAGTTTATGCAATTTGATGCATTTGGATATGAACAAACGTGTATCAAACTACACAATCATTATGACTGTGAAAGTCAGTCAGGCATATGTTACCCCAGAACACCCTGCTGCACACTGCTTTTATATTGTGCCATAAAATTTAATATTCACTCTTCTTCGATATTTCTGTTCTTTAAGGAAGATTGTTACTTATATGCATGAGTTTCACAGTAAGTCTCCAGAGTTTGTCTTTCCATCACAATGACAAGTTTATCCCCGTGATCAGCACCCTGCTCTTTCCCCTCCCAACAAATCCATGACAACTACTACTCGACCTGCCCATTCCCTGTGTGTCACCATTTGCTTCCTCCATGTAAGGCTGATCATGCAGCATCTGCCTTTCTATACCTATCAGGTTTCCATTTTACAGGAAAAACCAGGTACGTGTGACAGGGGAGAACCCGGGCACACAGGGCCTTGCCAGGTGATGAAGTTCAGAAATGTCAGAGGGAGTGATGTTTTAGCCTCTGCCTTTGCCTTAATGTGAGGAGGAAGACACTCATTCCGGCGGCACTCTCCCACATTCCCTGTCTAAACACGTGAAAGCAAAAAGCAACCCTGAATTGAGACACACTCAGTACAGTGTCAGGAAGAGGCTCCTCTGCCTGCAGCTCCTCAGCACTACCACAGACAATGGGGCACTGCTGACACAAAGACCGCTCAGCATCAGGACCTGCAAGCAACATCTGCATCCCAGGAGCCCAGGCCTGTGCCCATTGCAGACACCCAGACGACGCAGGTGGCATCTTTCTCTGATAAACAAAATACACTGGAATGAAGAGGTAAAAAATGAATATTATCACTCAGTATTCTGCCTAATGAAACACTAACACTTTTTTTCTGTTTCAAATGTTTGATGGTCAAATGTTTTAGATATTTTGCCTCTAAAAGGAGGGACATGTCAGGAAGAAAAAAAATGATCAAATCCTCTGGGAATTCAAAATATCAATAGACACCAAAACAATTTTGTTTCTGTTTGTTTGTTTTTTGTTTTTTGATTGTTTGTTTCTGAAGTGACTTCCATTTATTTTTATATATCTTTTCCCCATGATGATTTACAGGATCTTCAAGCCAATATAAATATTTTATAAATATTTGGATATTTGGGTATACACCTCCACAAGACCTCAACACTAACTTTCAGCAAGAAAAACACTGAAGAGTAAAGACTAGACACAATTACTAGGTACAGTGAACAGTGAAAATCTGCAAATATTTCTGAGATAAGAAGGCACCAGATACCTGTTCAACTAAGAAAACCACCCTTACAACACAGGATGGTTTTATTTTTACGTGGGACCTAGAACACATAAGCTGCCAATTAAGTACTGAATGGCCGAGCAGCGTCCCCAGTTTATGCCATGAAGTCATAGGGAATAGGTTCCAACAACTCAGGTTGCTTTCCATTGGCCCTCACAAAGTGTGCTTTCCTGTGAGGGACAGGCTAATGCTTCAGTTGAACCCCAGGTACCTGCTTCCTTTTTTTTTTTTTCTTCTTTCTTTCCTTTCCCCCCCCCCCCCCCCACGGATCCAGGGATTGAACTCAGGCTCTTGTACTCGCCAGGTAAGAGCTTATTCTACTGAGCTATCTCCATGGCCCCTGGCTTCCTTCATTTTCTGATCACTTTCCTTGACACATTTCAGGAAACTATCATGACTTTTTGAGTGTTTAATATGCTCAATACGCACATTAATCCTCTTTGTAAGTATCTTGCCCTTAACTTGCTCGTTTACAGAAATGTTAACAGCATGCTAGGTAACGTTTTAGCCTCTTCCCATTTTGCCATGGCAGCATTTGTGAGGCATTCCTTTCTGCACAGTACCCATTCCCTTGATGTCTACAATATCACTCTTTTGTAGATTCACATGTATGCAGCCCAAGCAGCAACTCCATGTTTTCTAAAAGGCCTGGAAAACATATACCAGGTTCCCCTCCTCTTGTACTTTGTGTTAGTCATTTTGGCAAATTACTGGAAGATGGCAGTTTGAGCCAAAGGGCCAATTTTGTTTCTTCATGCCTTTGTATCAAAGGAAACAATACTTGTAATCTGAGCACCGAGGAAACACCACTGCCCTTCCACAAAGGGAGCAAGGATGGAACTGTCAGGAGGATGGGCCGTTCCATAGCCTGGAGATTAAGTCCAATAGAAAACTGCAGCTATTCAAACTGATTAAAGACATCTAAAGGCCGAGACTGAGGATTTATCAACGGGCTTTTTCATTATCACACACAGGTACAATACAGTGACCAGCTCTTGAACTCCTTGAAACCCCAGGCACCTCAGAAAAATGACTCAGGGAGAATCCTTGAAAATACAAGCACATGACTGAGTTATAGATAGAAGACTGAATGTGTTGGGACATTTCTTCCTTGTTCTGAGATAAATACACTTCTCTTGGTATACCTTCACAAAGCATATGCTGCTATAACAAGATAGGAGAGTCTGGATAAATAAGAAAGAAAAATAATTATTTAACTCCAAGTCTCAGAGGTTGAACATCCAGCAGCAGGTGTCCTCAGCTACTGAGCCTCTAGAGAGGGCTCCCACCCCTGCAGCCCAGGATGGCGGGAGGTCAGTGAGTCTGGCCAGGTGCAGAAGGGGCTCCATGGCAAGACAGGGAAGCAAGATAGAGATTTGGGACCCATTCACTCTTTTCACATCTGTTTTACAAGGAACTAACTGATGGCATGTGAGTAGATTTTCTCCATTTTTCCATATCATTGTGGGAGAAAACCAAGAACAGATATCCTTTTTGCAAGAGTGCAAAAGTGATATTCTGAGATAATAATGTTTTCAGCATATTCCTGATATCTAGGTGTATGAGAGAGAATATTTTCATGTTCACCAAAAGGTCCAGCCTTGGCTTTCTACCATAAAATTTAGCTTTCTATAAAAATCCCCAAACTTAAGTGTTTTCCAAGATAAGAATCCCTCAGTGAGGGACTGGAGAGATAACTCAATGGCATAAGCACCTTCCTGGTGAGCTCAAGGTCCCAAGTTTTATCCTCAGTACAAGAAAAAAAAGAAGTAAGTCAGATCCAGCCCATCCCAGGCCCGGAGAGTGTGTGCTTCCCGCTTTCCTGTGTGAATGGGACACCTCCAGACCAAAACTCAGGCATGCTGCATGAGGGAGACCCTCTGCCATGCCCTTGGGACCCCTTCAACTCTCCAGAGCTCCCACACTCAAGCCCACCCAGTGAGAGAGAACATCTG